AAAATGTTAAACCATACGTATATACAACACTAGAGAGAAGACTACAGTGAACTCTCCTGTCCCCATCACCCAGTTTCAATGGTTGTTAATCTTGGCCAATCCTGTTTGCTCTGCACTCCCACCTATGCCTCATCCCACTCCCAGGACTAGATTATTTTGAAATAAATCCAAGACATCATAGAATTTCATCTGTAAATATTTTGGTATAGATCTCTTAAAAAAAAGTAACCAAAGAGCCAATATAACATCCCCCTCCCTACCCAAAGTCAACAAGACCATTGTCTTTTTTAAATCTATTTTATTGATTATGCTATTACAGTTGTCCTATTACCCCCCCTTCATTCCCCTCCACCCTGCACACCCTCTCCTACCCACATTCCCCCCTTTAGTTCATTTCCATGTGTCATAACTTCTTTAGCTTCTACATTCCCCATAACATTCTGGCCCTCCCCCTGTCTATTTTCTCCCTACAATCTATGCTACTTATTCTCGGTGCCTTTCCGCCCCCCCTCCTCCTCCCACTCCCTTGTTGCTAACCCTCCATGTAATCTCTATTTCTGTGGTTCTGTTCCTGTTCTAATTGTTTGCTTAGTTTCTTTTGGTTTTGTTTTTAGGTGTGGTTGTTAATAACTGTGAGTTTGCTGTCATTTTACTACACATGTTTTTTTCTCTTCTTTTTTCTTACATAAGTCCCTTTAACATTTCATATAATCAGGGCTTGGTGATGATGAACTCCTTCAACTTGACCTTACCTGAGAAGCACTTCAACTGCCCTTCCATTCTAAGTGAAAGCTTTGCTGGATAGAGCAATCTTGGATGTAGGTCCTTGCCTTTCATGACTTGAAATACTTCTTTCCAGCCCCTTCTTGCCTGCAAGATCTCTTTTGAGAAATCAGCTTGACAGGTGGATGGGAACTCTTTTGTAGATAACTGTCCCCTTATCTCTTGCTGCTTCTAGAATTCTCTCCTTCATTTTTACTTTGGCTAATGTAATTATGATGTGCCTTGGTGTGTTCCTCCTTGGGTCCAACTTCTTTGGGACTCTCTGAGCTTCCTGGACTTCCTGGAAGTCTATTTCCTTTGCCAGATTGGGGAAGTTCTCCTTTATTATTTGTTCAAATAAGTTTTCCACTTGTTGCTCTTCCTCTTCTCCTTCTGGTACCCCTATAATTCGGATGTTGGAACATTTAAAGATGTCCTGGAGGTTCCTAAGCCTCTCCTCATTTTTTTGAATTCTTGTTTCTTCATTCTTTTCTGTTTGGTTCTTTCTTTTTTCCTTCTGGTCCCCTCCATTGATTTGAGTCTCAGTTTTCTTCCCATTACTATTGATTCTCTGTGCATTTTCCTTCTTTCACTTAGTGTAGCCTTCATTTTTTCATCTAATTTGTGACCAAATTCAACCAATTCTGTGAGCATCCTGATCACCAGTGCTTTGAACTGTGCATCTGATAGATTGGCTATCTCTTCGTCGCTTAGTAGTATTTGCTCTGAGGCTTTGATCTGTTCTTCCATTTGGGCCTTTTTTTTTTTTTTGTCTTTTTGTGCCTGTTCTATAGTGAGGGGCAGAGCCTTAGGCATTCACCAGTGGGGGCAACCTAGGTCCCTGGGTTGTGATGCTGTTTGTGGGGCAGGGGTCTGAGAGGGAACAATGGCTCTTGCTCCACTCTCTGTCGGATTTCAGTCCCTTCTGCTGTTTCCCCCAAGCAAACTGGGCCTTTTGTGTGGGTGGGCTTGTGTACGTTGTAGGACCCTGTGGGTCTCTCCAACAAACTCTCCTGTGAGGCTGGGAGTCCCTCCTGGCACCTCAACCCCCACAGGTGTTTTCAATTGATGTTTTGAGCCTTATTTCCCTGTGCTGGGACTCTGAGTTGTGCTGTTTGTCTCGCTCCTCAGTTTCGCCTGGTTTATCTGCATGCAAATTTGGAGCCACCTGATCAGCCAGCCACCTTGCACACTGTGCCCCACTTCACAATCGCCACCTTGCTGGGTCTGCCAGTTGCCACCTTGGGCCTGGGGTCTGTTATCCCCTGCCCGTGTGCCCAGGGCCCACCCGTTGCTGTCTTGTGCTCCCAGGGTTTGTCAGCTGCTGCCTTGCACATCTGGTGCCACCACTTCTTTTTGCTGAGACCCCTGTCCACCCTCCCAGTGGCCTGACTCTGCCCCTCCTACCAGTCTGAATGAATGTGTCTATTTTAACTCCTTGGTTGTCAGACTTTCTTACAGTTCAATTTTCTATCAGTTCTGATTGTTATTTTGTTTTTAAATTGTTGTTGTCCTTATTTTGGTTGTGCAAGGAGGCACAGTGTGTCTACCTACACCTCCATCTTGGCCAGAAGTTCAGAAGACCATATTTTTTTGAAGAGGCTTTTGTAAGTTCAGTAGAGGGAAATAATGAAATGAAGGGTGTAAAACAAATTGTTCTCCACAAAAGATGCTCAAAGTGGAAGGGATTTTCATCTTTGCTCATGGTCCTCACCCCTGAATACAAGAACTATGATCTAGATAGAGTTGGAACCAGAGAATCTAGTGATTCCAGCAGAGATCAGAAGGCCAGCTTGCTGAGGAGGGGTCAGGAGAAGGCCAGGTTGCTTGGGATCCTGTCATTTGTTGACTATGTGATCTTGGGCAAGTCACTCAACCTCTCAGTGACACATTCATCACCAGCGAAATGGCTTAACATCTCCATTCTTACCTCAAGACCTACCAACCTTTTAGGTAACTTTAAATGTCTCTTTGGACAACCCAATTAACACATTGTAAGTTCAGAAGTTTTGTACCTACAGAGACCAAGTGCAGTAACTGTTAACCCCTTCTGTTTCAGATGTCCACATCCAGAGCCACAACCCTGATATTGTGACTGTGATGCTACTCCACCTTTAAAAGCTAAAATTGCAGTATCCCTCACTACTTGTTCCATTTGTTTCTCTCATCATCATATCAAGACCTCCAATCCTTTCAGTCCCTCCATTTCTCCCAGTGGTTTCCTTATTGGCCTCTTTTCTTCCTTATCCAAGCAAGATTCCAGAGCTCATTCTCTCAACCCCTTGCTAGTCAAACCCTCAATTCCTTTGCTCCTTTGCCCTCCACCACACTCATCCTGCAGACTTCCAGGCTTCAGCTCCATCTAGCCATTCATCTTTGCAGCTCTGCACTGCACCGGGGGAGAACTGGTGCTTCCAAAGTTCCTCACTGATGCCAGGTCATACTGCAGTCCTCCTGCGCTGCCTCTTTGTTCTCCTCACCCCTTTTGGGAGCCCTCTCCTTATTACAGCTCCCCACTGGTGTGCTGTCAATGCTCTCACCATGGCTTCTATTTTAGTAACTGTGTTTAACAGCCCACTCACAGAACTCCTGAAAATTCAACAACTAGCTCTCCTCTTTCCTCACCCTACATGACTTTTCAGCAAAATGATTCTCCTGTTACTTTACAGAATGAGTAGAGCCCATCAGGTGGGAACTCATTCAACATTTGGCACTCCCTCTAGAAGTAGAATTTTAACCCATTTTTGCTGCATTCCTTCTCTCTTCCTTCCATGTTTATCTCTACTGCCACCACCCCTTTCTGGATTGCATGGCCTCTCTTGAATGCATTCCTTCAGTTCTCCTCTCTTCCTCTTGTCCCTTGGGCTACAAGCATGGCTGTGTTTCTTCAGTGCAGTAGAAAATGGGAAGAAACAATAAACTTTCTCTAGACCTGTGTTCTGCTCTCCCTTTCTTCACAGTCAAGCTTCATGGAAACATTTTCCAGGATCCAGATTTTTACCTTCTGATCCCTCCTTCCCTTTCATCCCACTGCAACCTAAACTTTACTTTGCTTCCACCAGTCCACTTAAAGTGCTGGAGTGGATTTACCAGTGACTTTCCTGTCACTCTGTTTTTTCATCCTTAGCTTGCTAGACCTCTGGGCTGCTGTAGATCACGCTGACCACTTCATCCTCTGTAAAGCTCTTTGCTTCTCTTACTTTCTGGGAGAGTATCCTCCCTTCTGTCAGCATTCTTCAAAGTTCCAGCCAACTCTGATGACCCATGGGCATCTCAGAGCCACCGACTCTGACACCTGAGCTCAGAACCAGGGGTGTAAGACTTCTGGTATGAGGGTTGATAGTGCCAAGAAGAACCAAGGAGAACCAGCATTGGGGAGAGAAATGATGAGTCAAGGGTTGAACAGGTTGAACCTCAGATCTTCCACTTACTAGCTGTGTGACATTGGACATATCATTTCACCCCTCTGTGTATAATTTCCTTGTGTATAAATTAAGGATAATAATTCATTATTATAGAGTTTGATTGAGTTAATACATCTGTTTAGCACACTTTGTGGTACATAGTAAGCACTCATCAAATGTCAGCTATTATTAACTGGTTACCGGTGTCAATGCTACTCTTAAAATCTCCACTCATTTTCTTCCTCTCTGTTCCTACTGCTATGCCTCCTTTTTCCTCATCTTTTACCCTGATTACTACAATAACTTCCTGCCTTCAAAGACAAAGCCCCCCAACCCAGTCTCTATTTTAAAAATTCATATATGACTATGTGACCCTCCTGTTAAACCCCATAACAAGCATCATGATTGGTTATTAGGGCCTCTGGCTTGTTTTTTATGATCTACCTCTCAAGTCTCATCTCCCACACACCCTGTACTTCCCAGCCACTCTGAACTCCCCAGGGTTGGTACATGAGCCCTGCTCATTCATGCTTCTCTGTCTTTGCACATGCCATTTTCTATGGTGGAGACTTTCCTTCCTTTCTTAACCAGCTCAGGCAGCACCTCCATGAGGAAGCCCACCTGGATGGTAAGTGAGCTCATAGAAACCACAGAGACAAATGAGCAATTGGGGCAGCCCTACACTTGTTCCCTGACCCCCACTGAGCCTGCCTTTGCTTCTCTTTGTGACTGTTTTCAGACCCCACCTCACTTGAACCCAGTGTTTTACAGGAATCTCAAGTGTTAACAAAGAAAACAAAGGTCCCCACAGTTACAAGACTTGTCTTTCCACAGCTGCCGAACCTTTCATCCCCTCCCGAGGAGACCCGGCTCGAAGCACAGGGTGTGACACACACATGGCTGTCCACGGCCGTTTAGACGTCATAGAGGAGGTGACAAGGGTGACCTGGGAGGACATGCTTCTTTGGGTCCCCCTGCCAGGCTGGTGGCTTTATAGTGTTCAGACCAACCTTGCTTTGGAATATTAGGGAGATCCAGACCAATCCTGTTGCCTGGCCACTGAGCTGGCAGGCTAAACATTTCCCTGCCCTGCCTGGGCTGTCAGGCTGACCAGCTCCCAAAGGGCCCTGCCACCTCTAGGGCCTTGCTGACACCCAGCCAGAAATCTCTGCATAATTGCTAGCGGGAAAGGTGGAAATTCAGTCACTGCATTTTGTTATATAGCCACAGTATGTAACCTGGGGTTACAAACTTGTGTGGGGAAAATTATACTTTATTTCAAAAACCTTAGCATTTCAATTTCATATAAATACCACAAACCATAGTAGTATTGACAGTATTATGATTTCTGTCATCATAGAAATCAAAAAATTTCATCCCGTTAGAGTTGTTGCAAATATCTCAATGTATCCAACATATCATTTATTCTAACTAGTATGTCAAAATTGAAGTGGTTGTTAGACCTTATGGTAGATCATGTTGTTTAGTGAGTTAACAAAAACATAAATTTTAACCCTGACCAGGTGGCTCAGTTGGCTGGAGTGCCATCCTGATGTGCCAAGATTGTGGGTTCAGTCCCCAGTCATGGCACACACAAAAATCAACCAATGAATGCATCAATAAGTGGGACAATTGCTGTCTCTCTCACTCTTTTCCTCTCTCCTTCTAAAAATCAATAAATAAAAGTTAAAAAAATATGAAAAATTTAATTTTAATATGCAGTTGGTGTCCTTGGAAATCCCATGTTTTATTTTTTAATTAAATCATTTTTCTAAGAAGGGGTCTGTAGGTTTCACTAGACTATTAATGGGGTTCATTCATGAAAAAAAGAACACTGAATAAATTTCAAAATCCCAAACCTATCATTTGGCAGAGTTGCCACCAGGAGGCAGAGCAACAAAAGGGATGTGCACTCCCAGTTATGAGTCCTAAAAACAGAGAAGGATCCCTAGTCACTCCACACCTGTGACTAAGAAAAACCAGAGTGTCAGAGCCAGGAGCAGCCATAGAGAGGAAGCCCCTAAAGATTTTGTCATCTGGGGAATAGGAGTCAGGCAAGGACAGAAGCTGACCCAGAAGAACCCAGGTCCCCTGGCACCCAGCTCTCTCTCCCCACTGCACCACCAGTGCTCCTGATGAAGCAGGACTTGGTATCACTCTTATCCTCGGCTCCTCTCACACTGTTCCCATATCTCCTTGCTCTAGAAGGTGGAGAAGACAGTGGAGTACCTGGAGGCAGAAGTGAAAGGCCTGATGAACCAGCTGAAGGAGCTGGCCTGGAACCTGCCCCAGGGACCCTTCAGCCCAACCCCTGACCTCCTGGGAGATGGTGAGTGTAGTGTCTCAGGTGGCAGAGATGACATCCTCTGAGGCTGGGCAAGCAGGATGGGGATAGGTGTACTGGTAATAGCCTGAACAAGCCAGGGCTCCAGCTCCTCTGTGGGGCAGAAGTGGGAAGACATTTCCCCTAGCTCACCCGAGTGTTCTTGGTCCCCGCCCCCATCCGTGAGTGGCTGCAGCCCAGCATCATTCAGGGCACCTGGAGGAGCTCCCCGTTCTCCCAAGGTCCACTCTTAGCACCACCACCCTCACACAGAGCAGCTGCCTCCAAGCTCATTGGTTCCTTTCGTGTCCCTTCCAAGGACCACCTGTGTGCTAGTCTTTCAGGAAAGACTAGCATCCCTCTGACCAGCAAGTGGAGAGTTTGCCACCCTGCTCCCTCCTTGAGTCCTGTGTTTGTTCCCTGGCACAGGAGCTCCCCAGGGGAGGGGAGGGGAGGGCAGGGTGCCTTCAGCATGCCCTCTCTCTGAACCTCTCCCTTTCTTTCAGATCATTTTTGAGCACTGGAGATGGTGTTGCCCAGCAACTGGAAGTAATACACCCATCCAACAGCTCTCCTTTGAGAATGGAGCCTTGCATCTGGCCTTTCTTCCTCAGCTTTGTACAAAATAAAAGCTACTCCACTGATCTGTGTCTGCTGACAGAGTGACCCTTACAGCCACGGCCCCTTCCCTATCTACTCCCATACCCTGAGGCCCACATCCCCCTAAAGGCTCAGATCTGGGAAACCCCATCCCTTCTGTGCTTCAGCCACCCTTCTTTATAGGGTTGGACAGGGCAGGCATGGTCCACAGAGGTGAGTCACTTGAAGCCCAGAATCGTATGATGATGCAGTGGAAGTGTCCTTCGGGTAGCCTTGCTGCTCAGAGTATGGCCACAGATGAGCAGCAGCGGCCTAACCTGGGAGTTTGTCAGAAATGCAGAATTTGGAGCCCCACCCAAACCTCCTAAATCAGAATTTACATTTTAATGAGCTCCCTCGCAGGGGATTTGTGTGCTCCTTAAAGTTAAAACATTTTTTTTTTATTGAGGTAAAATTTACATGACAAAAAATTCAAACTTAACCATTTTAAACTGTACAAATGCAGTGGCTTCCCCATGTTGTACAATCATCACCGCTCTCTAATTCCAGAGCACTTTGACCAGCCCAAGGGAAACCCTGTGCCTAGTAAGCATCACTTCCCATTTCCCCTCTCACCACCCCTTGAACCCACTGATAATTCCATCTCTATGGACTTCCCTATTCTGGACATTTCATATAAACAGAATGCTACAATATGTGGCCTTTTGTGTCTTTTTTCACTTAGTATGTTTTCAAGGTTCATCCATACTATATAGCATATATCAATACTTCATTCCCTTTTGTGTGAACACATACTTTCATTTCTCTTGGGTCCATAACTAGGGATGGAATTGCTGATTCAAATAGTAATTCTGTTTAAATTTTTGAAGAATGACCATTTATTTATTTGTTTGTTTGTTTATTTATTTATTTACTTTGCACAGCAGCTGTACTATTTTACCTTCCCACCAGCAATGTTTATTTAACAGTTTCCTGCTGCCACATGCTCACCATGTCTTTCCATAATAGCCATTATATTAGGTGTCCACTGGTCTATCATTGTGGTTTTAAGTTGGATTTACCTAATGACTAGTGATGCTAAGCATCTTTTCACATATTTGTTGGCTATTTGTATGTTTTTGTTTTTTGGAAAAATGGCTATTCAAGTCCTTTGCCCATTTTTAATATAGGGTTGCCCTTTGTTGTCAGAGTTCTTTATGTGCTGTGCACATGAGACTTTTATCAAATATGTAATCTGCAAATATTTTATTCTGTGGGTGGTCTTTTTCCTTTCTGTTTTTTAAAAATATATTTTATTGATTATGCTCTTACAGTTGTCCCAATTTTACCTCTCTGCCCCCCTCTAGCAGTCCCCCTCACCAGTTCATGTCCATGGGTCACGCATATAAGTCCTTTGACTTTCTTGTTTCCTATACTGTTCTTAACATCCCTCTTGTCTGTTTTATACCTACCAATTACACTTCCTAATCCCTGCGCCTTTCCCCTCATTCTCTCCCTTCCCCCTCCCAGCTGAGAACCCTCCAAGTGATCTCCATATCTATGGTTCTGTTCTGCTTGTTTGCTTAGTTTATTGGGTTGTTTTTAGATTCAGTTGTTGATAGCTGTGAATTTGTTGCCACTTTAGTGTTCATAGTTTTGATCTTCATCTTTTTCTTAAATAAGCTCCTTTAACATTTCATGTAACAATGGCTTGGTGATGATGAACTCCTTTAAGTTAACTTGTCTGGGAAGCATTTTATTTACCCTTCAAATTGTAAATGATAGCTTTGCTGGATAGAGTAATCTTGGTTGTAGGTTCTTGCTTTTCATCACTTTGAATACGTCTTGCCAATCCCTTCTTGCCTGCAAGTTTTCTTTTGAGAAATCAACTGACATTCTTATGGGAACTTCCTTTGTAGGTAACTCTCTTCTTTCTCTTGTTCAAGATTCTCTCTTTATCTTTAACCTTGGGCATTTTACTTATGATGTGCCTTGGTGTGGTCCTCTTTGCATCCAACTCCTTTGAGACTCTCTTTGCTTCCTGGACTTATATGTCTGTTTCCTTCACCAAATCAGGGATGTTTTCTTTCATTATTTTCTCAAGTAAGTTTTCAATTTCTTACTCTTCTTTTTTCCTTCTGGCATCCCTACGATCCCAATGTTGGCATGTTTGGAGCTGTCCCAGAGGCTTCTTATACTCCCCTAGATTTTTGAATTCTAGTTTCTTCTTGCTGTTCTGTTTGAATGCTTATTTCTTCCTTATGTTCCAAATTATAGATTTGCATCTCAGTTTCCTTCCCTTCATTGTTGGTTCCATGTAGGTTTTTCTTTATTTCACTTAATGTAACCATGTCTTCCTTTATGTGTTGCCATAGTCAATGAGTCCTTTGAGCATCCTGATCACCAGTGTTTTGAACTATGCATCTGATAGGTTAATTTTTCTCCAATTTGTTTAGTTCTTTTTCTGGGGTTGGGTTCTGCCCTTTCATTTGGGCCATATTCTTTGTCTTCTCAATTTGGCAACCTCCCTGTGTTTCTTTCTGTGTATTAGGTAGAGCTGCTTTTACTCCTTGTGTTAGTAGCATGGCCTGTTGTAGAAAAAGACACCTGTAAATTGTGTGTGGCAGAACCTTAGGCAATTGTCAGGGTGAGGCAACCCACTCTGCATGGTGGGGAGGGCTCAGAAAGAGGACAGTGCCACTGCCTGGCTTCTGGAGGTTTACCTGGCACTTGCCACATTTCCAGTCACTTCATCCAATCCGTGGATGCAACTGGTGCCCTTCCAAATGTTGTCCTGGTGCTGAATCCCAGAGTGCGTAGGTTTGCATACATTCTAAGACTGTAAAATCTCCTGAAACTCCAGCAATTTCTTCTACCACCCCAACCCACACTGGTTTGTACAGCCAGCACTTATGGGGATTTATTGTCCCAGCACTGGAACCCTGCTCTGTGTGGTCTGGCCTCTGACTGGGATCCCTCGCTCCCAAGGTATCCATCTTGATTTTTATCCTTCACTCATGAACGAGGACTGCCCATTCTGCCACCACTGCTGCCTCTCCACCCATCTCCATGTCTACACCTTTCTTACCCTGTCTACACCTTTCTTACCCATCTGGATGAATGTGGCTTTTTTAAAAATCTATTTTATTGATTATGCTATTACAGTTGTCCTATTACCCCCCCTTCATTCCCCTCCACCCTGCACACCCTCTCCTACCCACATTCCCCCCTTTAGTTCATTTCCATGTGTCATAACTTCTTTAGCTTCTACATTCCCCATAACATTCTGGCCCTCCCCCTGTCTATTTTCTCCCTACAATCTATGCTACTTATTCTCGGTGCCTTTCCGCCCCCTCCTCCTCCCACTCCCTTGTTGCTAACCCTCCATGTAATCTCTATTTCTGTGGTTCTGTTCCTGTTCTAATTGTTTGCTTAGTTTCTTTTGGTTTTGTTTTAGGTGTGGTTGTTAATAACTGTGAGTTTGCTGTCATTTTACTACACATGTTTTTTCTCTTCTTTTTCTTACATAAGTCCCTTTAACATTTCATATAATCAGGGCTTGGTGATGATGAACTCCTTCAACTTGACCTTATCTGAGAAGCACTTCATCTGCCCTTCGACTCTAAATGAAAGCTTTGCTGGATAGAGCAATCTTGGATGTAGGTCCTTGCCTTTCATGACTTGAAATACTTCTTTCCAGCCCCTTCTTGCCTGCAAGATCTCTTTTGAGAAATCAGCTTGACAGGCTGATGGGGACTCCTTTGTAGGTTACTGTCCCCTTATCTCTTGCTGCTTCTAGGATTCTCTCCTTCATTTTTACCTTGGCTAATGTAATTATGATGTGCCTTGGTGTGTTCCTCCTTGGGTCCAACTTCTTTGGGACTCTCTGAGCTTCTTGGACTTTCTGGAAGTCTATTTTCTTAATCAGAATGGGGAAGTTCTCCTTTATTATTTGTTCAAATAAGTTTTCCACTTGTTGCTCTTCTTCTGTTTCTGGTACCCCTATAATTCGAATGTTGGAACATTTAAAGATGTCCTGGAGGTTCCTAAGCTTCTCCTCATTTTTTTTGAATTCTTGTTTCTCCATTCTTTTCCCTTTGGTTGTTTCTTTCTTTCTTCTGGTCCACTCTATTGTTTTGATTCCCAGTTTCCTTCCCATCACTATTGGTTCCCTATGCATTTTCCTTCATTTCTTTTATCATAACCTGCATTTGTTCATCTGATTTGTGACCAAAATCAACCAGTTCTGTGAGCATCCTGATCACCAGTGCTTTGAACTGTGCATCTGATAGATTGGCTATCTCTCAGTCACTTAAAAGTACTGATTATGAGGCTTTCAAATCTGTTTGAGCCATATTTTTCTTTTTTTTTTTCCCTTTGGTGTGGTTGTGCTTGTTATGTATGAAGGGCGGAGCCTTAGGTGTTCAACAGGGTGGGGCACCAGTCTCTGGGTTGTGACACTGTTTGTGGGGCAGGGGTCTGAGAGGGAACAATGGCTCTTGCTCCACTCTCTGTCAGACCTCAGTCCCTTCCGCCACTTCCCCCAAGCAAACTGGGCCCCTCTGGTGCTGATTCCCCTGTGGGTGGGCTTGTGCACCCCGTGGGACTTTCCAAGGACCTCTCCTGTGAGGCTGGGATCTCTCCCTGCCTCTCAACCCCTGCAGATATTTTCAATCAGTGCTTCGAGGTTCTATTTCCCAGTGCTGTGATTCTGGGTTGCATGTAGTGCCTTGCTTCACAATTCCCGCCTTGCTGGGTCTGCCATTTTCCTCCCCTTGGCTGGGGTCTGCCAGCTGCCACTTGCGAACTCAGGTTCCACCCACTGCGGTCTTGTGCATGCCAGATGCCTTACACACCTGGTCCCAATGTTCTCTGCTCTCCGCACTGTGCCCCGCACGGGCTGCCTGACTCCGCCTCTCCTACTGGTCTGGATAAATGAGTCTATTTTAACTTCTTGGTTGTCTGACCTCCATACAGGTCAATTTTCTATCAGTTCTGGTTGTTATTCTGTTTCTAAATTGTTGTTGTCTCTATCTCAGTTGTGCAAGGAGGCACAGTGTATCTG